TCCATCTGCGAAATAATTTTACAAGTTTAGCAGAGAAACCTGGGCACAAGAAGCAAAGACGCTTGGTGGCTCAATGGCAAAGATGATGGACTCGCCTCCGACTCCTCATGTTGATATTTATGAAATGCTACATCTTCATTTACAAAGGCTCCCTTCAGCTGGGTGACATGGCAATGAGTACGACCCGCCACTAGCTCAGAGTCTCTGCCACATAACAAGACTTAAGGTTTGCGACCTAAAAACAATTGCCCGGTGTCTCAGGACAGTCTGCGGGAAGCTGCTTCACACACACGGCATTATTTCAATACCCAAATGGAGTGATTTGTGTTTGGCACATCTGGTCTACGACTGCCAACGAATGATTCTATGGGCTAATATGGACGAGTAACAGGCTGATGAAGAAACCATGATTGTAAAATGATTTTTAAAATAGCTTAACTTTTTTTTAGTTAAAAAAAAAGAGAATATAGTTAAAGTTGACATTTTAATTCCTAGGGGGGTTTAATTTGACCAAAAAAATCTGGCAAATTTACTATCAACATAACAGCGTGTGTGGGTTCTTGTACAAGGGGTGTAGGTTGCCTACAGCTGGATTCAATTTAAACTTCCAGATAATGGGATTTAACAAATATGGGACTATGGATCCAAGGCATTAGCAGCTCTCTGCTGTATCGATAGCCCTACGCTTTCAATCAGACCAAGGCTCTGCTTTTAACTGCCACGCTAGTTCACGTTGATGATACCTATAATATCAACTCAACAATGCATGTTCTACAACTACATCTACTGCTACCAGTACGACTACTACAGTGCATGCATTTAGTTCAGTCCCACAGATACATACACTCTAAGAACAGGCAAGGGGAGATGTGAAATGTTTTACGGGACGACAGGTGTTTTGTTTTTTAAGTAAGGGAAATTAATAAAAACATCAAAAGAAAGAAAGTGTACAAAAAAATAGAGACATTTCTCAAGAGTTGATATGAGTTGTTTCTTGAACCGTTTTGTCTGAACAAGCAAAAAACATGCAACCAGCTGCTACTAACAAGAAGCTGGACACTGAGAGAGGATTAATAGGTGTGGACAAACCTTCCCGCTGAGAGCGCTCAGAAGAGTGTTTGAGAGGAGGTGTGCACGTCCGAGTGTAAGAGAGGCCGGAAAGTATGCCTCAGAGACACCCTCTCTCACAGCAGCCCCAACCAAGCAAGAGAGAAAACAACAAAAACATAACTGCTCACACTCACCATCAAGGTCAGTAGCTCACGTTACGAGATTTGTTATGGCTGGCAAGTATAAAGTACAGTAAGGGGTTGTCGGGGCTCAAAGGTAGCGCTGGCAAGCCAGGACTGGCACCCAAAATCCAGATGTGCTGGGGGTCAGGGGTGTGTGTGGGGGAGCAGCTCCTGGCACCGCGCCGTCCCCCCACGCTGCCACCGTCTTGGCGGGCAAAGCGTGCCCATGGGAGCCTGCGCCGTCACCCGGGACAGGCACGCACCGCTCCTCCCGGCGCCGAGCAGCCGGGGTCGGGCTGGGTGATGGCTGGCCTTAGCGGTTTTGTCTCCAGTCCTCAGGGAGGAATAGTTGGTGGCAACAGGTTGGGAACTGGAAAAAACCTCAGACTGGTCAATGAACCAAAGAGGAAGGAACGAAAGCCCTCTCCTGCCGAATTTTCCTTGTCTTTCTCTCCTGCCAAATGAATCCCTCCCATGTCAAATGCGAGATAAAAATGCGCCCCCCCACACCCGTGATCATATTTTTTTAAAAGCATTTACACAACAAAAATGTTTTACACGTAAAATATGTCAGGTGAATTCAAAAGAAACGTGACATTGATAGTGAAGTTGTCTAGGAGGAGTTTGCAGCATTCAGACTTTTAAGTTTGCTTGTTTCCGTGGCTCAGGTCCCAATTCATTAAAAAAAAAATACAAGAATGGACGAGGTTGTCAAAAGCAGCTGAGGGATTCGGCAGCACAGTCCCACCCAGCGTGGACAGACGTGGCCAAACCCCCCCGTCTACTTGAGGGACCTCAGCTACCACCTCGTCGCTGGGATGATTCATAAAGAGAAGCACCACCCCGCTGGCATGTGGCCAGATAAGCTAGATGCGAATTTATGAGTGGCGCTGAGGAGAAGCAGGGGGAAATGTCCCTTCCTGCTGTGACAGACAAGAGAACTTGTTTATCTAGCAAGGTAAAGTGGTGGCTGCATCCTCACAAGCTGCGATAGAAAAGGAAGGGGCAAGGGGAGGTGCAGAACTGGGGCCGGGTGCTGCCCGGTGCAGGTAACGGCCCCGAGAGGGTGGGCTCCTTTCACTGTGAAGCAAATGAGCAGTTTCCCAAGAGGAGGAATATCAACCCCGGGGAGAAACCGAGGGGGTCAGTGCCCACGAGCCGCAGCCCAGAGGGTTGGAGTCAAAGGGCTGCAGCTTCCTTGGAAGACCAAGATGCACGCCCGGAGGTGGAAGCTCTCTGCCGATGCTCAACCTCACTGGTGGGCACCAGCACCCAGGCCCAGCTCTGGTGCTGTGGAGCAGGAAGGTGAGAAGAGCCAGCAGGACGGGGCCAGAGAGCAGAGGAGAACAATTTGGAGCAAGCTGGTGGGGCCGGAGCGCTGCAGAAGGGGCAGCAGAGATGGGGACGTCTCTGGCAGCCTCAGTGAGCAGAGGGGCAGTGGAACGCGCCTGCGCAGGTGTTTTTCAGCTCTTTTCCATATACTGGCAGAAAAGGGCCAGCAAGGGCCAACAGTGCTGTACTCTGTGCTTTTGGGCTAGGCACATGTGGAAGAGGACCGTGCAAATTTGCAAAGGAAAAAAGAAAAACCCAACTGAAAAGCAGCAAAAAAAGAACCCCAACCATTTTTCTTGTAATGAATCGGGCCCACAGACTGTTTCACAGGATCGATCGTACTCTACTGCTCCTGAATACAATTCACTACCATTGCTGGATGGAAGTGGTGAACCCAGGATGTCCCTTCCGAAAACCGCCTTTGGATGGAATGACTCTGCGTAAGACACCACTGTTCCCAGAGCACACTTTGCCGCAAATGCGAGTGGCTGTCGGGCTGGGCCAGTGACAAACCCATCTTCCTCCTTGAGATCTCGGGGCTGGGGAGGGGGGGGTGTTTCTTTTGATTCAGTTTTGGGGTTTAGCCAGTTTTGCGCACACAGGCAATTTTGAGGCTTGAAAGACATTTCCAAACACCATACTGCTCTTTAAACTTGCCAGAAAGGGTGTTGTTAATTTAGGGTTAGATTTAGTTTCGTATTGCAAGTTCAAATAAAAAAAACCAAACCAAAACAAAAAACCCAGAACAAAACAGAAAACCCAAGAAAAGAAAAACCAAAAAACACTCAAATTAGAGACAAATGATTTTCAGGCACAGAATTGATCAATGCTCAGTTCAGTTGTAATGGGCACCAAAAGCACTCCGATTTAAAAAAATAATAATAATCAGGGAAGCAACATTAATCCAGCCAAACCCTCTGTGCCTTGCTAAGGGGCAACTCACCAGGTCTGTTTGCACGTAAAACAAAACCTGAAGGGCAAAACATGAGGAAGAAGCACAAACAATGAAGTCTGTTTTCCCGAAATCATATGCAAAATCAATCTCTTTTTCTTTTTTGTTTTTTTTTTCCCCCCTATTTTTTTCCCCCTTCTGCAAAGGGGCAGTAGGAAAAGCTGGGAGATGGGGAATCCCCACAACCAGTCTGGCAAGTCACCCCTTAGGCGCTCTCTACATGCCACAAGATGAAACTGGTACAGAAAATCCTTTGTAGCCTGCAAGCAGTGCCAGTTTGCATGGAACGGAGTTCTCCTGGTGTCTTTCTTTGGCCTCCATGGCATCAGGCTCGCACTCGAGACACATCCGGGCCTGTGCCCTCCTCGTAAACCCCTCACGCAGTGGTTTAGTCGGGTCTTTTCGGCAAGAGCCCTGTTAACTGCCAGAAAAGCCGCCGAGAAACCCCCACTTCAGGACTGCACCATGAGTGAGCTGGAAAATGGCTGCCTCCGCCATGTCTCCTGCTCCAGCACCTCTGCCACAAGCACCGACGAGCCAGGGCCCATGAGGGGCTGGCAGACAGGGGGGCCACACAGGAGGCGCGGGGCTGGCAGTGGCTTTGTACCGACTTGGTTTGGGCAGGCCAGGGAGCCAGGGCGGCAACAGGTGCTGCCAGCAGCTCACTGATGGCTGTACTGAACAGTTAATTACCTGAGCAAAGCGCTAATTTCAGCTGAATTTAAAACCTAAGGCAGTAACGGTGATTGGCAACGATTTATTTATTTCCCTTAAGGGGAAAAAAATAAAAGTTTTCAGGAGGACGGAAAGAAAAGCTTTGCCGTTTCTCATGGAAGCAGGCTGGGGTTCGAAGCAGGCAGGGCTGGTGCCAGCTGTGCTTCGGTGCCGGGTGGCAGTGTTCACCCAGCGCAGGCAGAAGACGCCATCCTCAAGGGGTCACAGCGCACTCACCGCAGGGGTGTCCCTCAAAG